TATTCATTACTCTTCTCCATGACCACAACTTAATGACATGGATTTTTCATCTATCATCTTTTTTCATTGTCAAGCTCTAATATGGATAGAAAGTGATGGAAAAGACTGTAACTTGAAACAGGTGCACTTTAGTCTTCAGCCTGACATTGTTGCCCCTCAGTACTTTGGAGAGGTCCCTGACATTAGACTTTCCCAATTCAATATACTACTAATTATCCCTAAATGGGAGTAGGGTGAGAAGAATATACACTCAAAAGACTAAAGGTATAATTTCAGACACAGAGATGCAATCAGGGGAAAGACTTTCTCAGCTTTCTGAAAGAGGGAGGGCTGACTTGAGACATCCCTGCACACAAACTGCTTGAAATGGCAGCCCAGATTTTGCACCATTCCAGAGACAAAGGAAAACATTAAGTTTAGAGGAGAAGGTGCATCAGGTGAGGCACTGTCCCCCAGAGTAAGCACTTTTGAATGCTTGTGGGGGGAACGGACTAAAATTTCCTTGGGGATAGGTCCTTCCATTTGTGAAGCCTTGTCTCCATGGCTCTGAGGCCATCCCTGGGGCCAAACAGGGCAAAAGAATTTAGGACACAGACTTACAAGCAGAGTAAAGACTTTCTCAGCTTTCTCTACTGACATGTTGAACTGCAAAATAAGCAAGCTGACTTGAAAACCCTCTGGACAGAAACTGCTTGAGTGGAGCACTTGGTCTCATACCTCTCAGCCATTTCATAGATGGAGAAAGACAATAGAGTTTGGGACAGGAAACTACAGTAAGGCAAGATTTCTGCTGGGCTGCTGTGCAGAACACTGAAGGAGTTTAGGAAAGGAAAATTAGCACAATCTCAATACAGATAACACGTTCATTTTTCAAGGAAATCAAAAGGGACATTGTCACATTTATTTGGAGAAGAAAGACTCCAGGCAAGCAAAGCACTTCTGAAAAAACAAAAATGAAGTGGGAATCATAGCATTCCCTGACCTCAAAACCTACTATACAGTGTTAGTAACCAAAGCAGCATGGGACTGGTACAATGACAAGCACATAGACCGATGGAACAGAATCAAGAACCTTGAAATAGACCTCTCTATCTGTGGTCAACTGATATTTGACAAGGAAATAAAACCTATCAAGTGGGTTCAGAGCTGTTATATATAGGGTTGCTATGAGTCTTAGGTGACTCAATGGCCCATAACAAGAACAAGGCAATATGTGCTCACTATGTTATCCTGAGAGAGCTCTGGTTGCTTAGTGGTAAGGAGTTGCACTGCCAACCCAAAGACACACAGTTCAAATCACCTGCTGCTCTGAGGAAGAAAGATGGGCAATTCCATGAGATTAACTGTCTGGGAAAACTCACTGGAGGGTCAGCTACGAGTTAGTTCCAACTCATGGTAGACAATGTAACACATAAGACTTTACCAAGAAATTTGGACGATAGCTTTCTGGCCAAACAACTTAAAGAGAATCATATTTATGCTTTTTCCAAAAGAAAGTGATACTTTAGAATGCAGTAATTACAAAAAACTAATATTACATGTAAGTAAAAATGGTTTTACAGCCTCCAAATCCCTGCTGGAGGGTTAGCTATGTCAGTTCTAACTTAACGGCAATAAGTTTGAGGTGAGTTTTTTTGTGGTTGTTATTTTTTAAATTTAGTTTGTATGCTAAATAAATAATTTGAGATGAAGAACATGACATAAGGAGGAAGACTCACCAAGAACCTGTGTTAGGCAGATGACACAATCTTACTTGCAGAAAGTGAAGAGGACATGAAACACTTCTTTTTTTTAATATTTTTTTTTATTGGGAAAAACATATTGGGGGTACAAGGAGGTGAGGGTTGGGGGCAGAAGGGTGAGGATGGTCCAGGATGCAGTTGCAGAGCTGCACAGTTTGGTCGGTGGGGGGAGCAGGTGAAGGAAATGATGAGGGTCCAGTGGGGACCAGATGCTACAGAGGAATGATAAGCATTTTCCAATAGTAATTAAACCAACTGTCTTATTGATTTGGGAATTGGATGCCGACTCTCTGGCTTCTTCATGCTGAACAGGGGCGTAGATATAAAGGGGGGAAGGGAGGACGCTTTATCACCTTACTGGTGGTCTTGGGTTACAGCTGCTTGCCTTCTTGTTCCTGAGGGCCGCGACGGTTCGCCCCGAGCCGGGGGACCAAGCACAGCCTGCCCCGGGCAGAAGGCCATGACAGCTCGCCCCAGGCAAAGGGCCGAGGGCAGCCCACCCTGGGCAGAGGGCCGCGACGGCTCGCCCAGGGCAGGGGGCCGAGGGCAGCCCGCCCCGGGCAGAAGGCCACGACAGCTCGCCCTGGGCAAAGGGCCGAGGGCAGCCCACCCCGGGCAGATGGCCACGACGATGAAACACTTCTTAAAGAAGATTGGAGACAAGCCTTCAGTATGGATCAAACTTCAACATAAAGAAAACAAAAATCCTCACAAAGACCAATAAGTAACCTCACAATCGAGAAAAGGTGAAAATTGTCAATTATTCAATTTTACTTGGATCACATTAATATTCATAGAAGCAGCAATTAAATGAAAAGATGTATTGCAGTAGGAAAATCTGCTGTTAAAGAGTAAGGAGTTGGAGTGCTGCTCAGGGTCTCCGCACAGTGCTAAAGAAAAAGGAAGTCCATTTACACAAAAATGTACACCTAAAAAAAATGACCACCTGATAAGATGACTTTTTCAGTTGTTTGATATGCATGTGCAAGTTTGACAACAAAGAGAGAAGATCAAAGAAGAATTAGTGTCTTTGAACTGTGGCATTGTCAGAGAGCACTGAATCTGCCATGGACTGCCAAAAAGAAAACCAGAAGTGTATTAGAAAAAGCAGCAAAGATATCATCTCACATGCATTGGGGATGTTGTTTGACAGAGTCAATCCTTGGAAAAAGACATCATACTTGGAAATGTGGAGTCATTGAAGATGATTTTAGTAAAATGTATTGATAGGGTGACTGCAACGATGAGTTTAAGCATAGTGGAAATTGTGAGAATGACATGTCTTTCTCTTCCCACTCCCCAACCCTAGGGGCTCCTGCAGGCTTCACTGGGATCTTTTACCACATTGGATGCCTTGCAGTGCCAGTGTCCACTACTCTGGCTTCAGGAATCTGAACGTCACTCCCTTTTCCATGAGCTGTGGGCAATGGAGGCCATTTCCTGTCCCTTCAGAACAGCACTTGCTCATCTCTCAGGACTGACTGATCCATGTTCAATGGCTATTCACCTGGAACTCTTTCCCACTTTGGCCTTCAAAATTCTAGTTTGAATATTTGTATAGGACTGGGCAATATTTTGATCTCTTTTACATAGGTTGCACCAGAGGATCCTATGGCATCTAACATTGTTGTAAACATGACTTTATATAGCTTGTCAATTCAGAGTATATTTTTACAGATATACATATTATATTTTTCTACAGATATACGTATTAATGACTGTTTTCTACAATTTTTCTACAGATATACATATAAATGACTGTTCAACCTTAATCTTTAATAAACTGAATTTTTCTGTCATCATTTGCCCACCACTTCCTTGTTGTTTTTTCTCCTTTAATAACAGCGAATACATTTTGATGTCTATTATATTGACTTTTTTATATAAGTTAGGTAATGCAAATATTTCTCCTTTTATAATAGGCTTATTCTATCACTTTAATGTCAGTTTCTCCTTTTAACCTTGCTTGGTGAAAGTGAGTAAGAGATTAAATGCTTGCTGCAGAAGATCAAATACTTAAGCCTTCAATATGAATTGCATCTCAACATAAAGAAGACAAAACTCTTCACCCCTGGACAGATTGGCAACATCCTGATAGATGCAGAAAAGACTGAAATTTTGAATAATTTCATCTTTTGTAGATCCACCAATAACACCCTTGCTGCTAGCAGTCAGGAGATCAGGAGACATAATGCACTGGGAAAGTTTAGCGTCAGAAACCTCTCCAAAGTACTGAGGAGCAATGACACTAGTTTGAAGACTAAGGTGCAACTTATTCAGGCCATGTTCTTTTCAATCACTTATTATGTTCTGAGAGCTGGAAAATGGATAAGGATGACTGAAGAAGAGTTAAATATTGTTATTTAAAAAAGGATAGAAATATTGTGCCTATGTCTTCAGTGCAGCTCAGATTATTTCCTTCATCATCACTGTTTTTTTTTAAAATTTTTTTATACTAGTTTAAAATTCAACTACATTGCTTTTCACACCAAATACCTCCCATTTCGCTCACTCCTCCAACCCATCAAATTGTACAACCCCAATATTAATCACACACACCCTCGCTCCTTCTCACCCATCTGCTTCCCACCCTCCTTCCTGCTTGGATCCTCATACTCATTCTACAATAATGCTTTTATACAGTATTTGTTCTTGGGGGTCTGAGTTAGCTCACTCAGCATAATGCTCTTTAGTCCCTCTCAAGTTAGGTAATAATTTTATCTGGTTTACATACAAAGTTCATATATGTTGTTTTTCTTCATCAGTGGTGTCTGAATTGTAGTGTTGGAGAAGAGTATTGAATATTCCACGAACTGTCAAAGAACAAACAGGTATGTGTTAAGGAAGAATGCTCCTGGGAAGCAAGGAGAGCGAAGCTTCATCTCACATATGTTGGGCATGTTGCTGGGAGAAGCTATTACTTGGAAAAGCTATGCTTGGTAAGGTTGAAAGCCAGTGAAGGAAGGTAAGACCCACAGTGAGATGGTCTGACACAGTCATTGCAGCACTGGGCTCAACTTATCAGAAATTATGAAGACAGCACACGTTAGGCCAGGGTTCAGATCTGTTGTTCATAGGATCACTATGAGTCACTAATAACAACAACCTGTGAGGAGCCTTCCCATATTTGTTGATAAGTATTTCCATTGTTTTTACATTTTACCTGTCTCAAGTGGTGCTACAAGGAACATTTCAGCACTCTTCTTTAACAACGCAGTTCAAAGGCATCCACTTTTCTTTCTGTCATTTTTAATCATTGTCTACCTCTCAGATGCATAGCAAATGATTGGAAAGACCATGGCTTGAATCCAGCATACCTTAGTATTCAAACTGACATTATTGCACCTCAATAATATGAGAGGTCTCTGATTGCAGATTTCACAGTTCAATACATCTCCTGATCTCCTGACTGCTGGTATTAAGGATGTTAATTGTGGAATCAAGTAAGATGAAGTTGTTGACAGTTTCAAGCTTTTCTCCATCTATCACAATGTTGCCTATTGATCCAATGGTGAGAATTTTTTTTTCTTGATTTTGAGATGCAATCCACATTCATGACTAAAATTTTTGATTCTCAGTAGCAAGTGTTTCAAGTTCTTATCATTTTCAGCAAACAAGGTTGTGTCATGTGTGTAAGGTAGTTTATTGGTGAGTTTTCCTTCAATCCTGATGCCATCTTCTTCACAGAGTTCAGCTTCTTGACTAATTTGCTCAGCATACGTATAAAATAAAGAAGAGTACTGAATGACTCACGGACTGTCAAAATGGCAAACAGACATGTCTTGGAGAAGGTTCAGCCAGAGTGCTCTTGGGAGACAAAGATGATAATGTTTCATTTCATGTACTTTGGACATGTTGCTAGGGA